TCAGAAAATGCCATTTGGGGAGCAGCCTTGATTCACTGCCGCTGCTGCCCCGCCTCCCCAGCCTCTGCTCCCCACCCACCCCCAGCTCTGCTCGTTGAGCCTGCTGGGCTTACGCCCAGCCCCTCCCCCCAGGAATCCCTCACCTCTCTGGAGTGCAGCAGCACTGATGGGTCATGCCCCTTACACAGAATCGGCACCAACCAGAAGACCCCTGAATCCAAGCTCTCATCCCCAGATGGAATCTCCGGGCCAATAAGTCCTGATGCCCCCCAAGCCTTTATCCCTCAAGGAAGGCTCTTCCAGCCCTTAGGGAGGGGTCCACACAAACTGCAGGGGAGCTCCTTCCACTCTGGGACAGCGCTCACAGTTAGGAAATCCTTCCTTTCTATCACAGGGACGGTTATTCCCATTTTACAGATGAGGAAGTTGTGACTCCAAGGGGTATGAGCTTGCTCATAGTCACTGAGATTGTCAAAGGTGGGACTCAGTTAAACTCCACCGGAAGGCGCCGTGCCACGTGCCGGGGAGCTGGGCTCTGTGCCGAGCCACTGTTCCTACTATATGAAACCCCCACCTCCTGACCCCAGGCATTTGCTCCGGCTGTGCTCCATACCTGGAATGCCATCCCTCCTCCCCTCCACCTCCTGGCTTTCTTTAGGTCTCAGCAAAAATCCTCCCTTCTTCAGGTGTCTTTTCTCTATCCCCCTAAATCTAGTATCCCCTCTTGGAGATCATCTCCAGTTTTTTTTCTATATATACATAGTTGTTTATACGTAGTTGTAAGAACATGGCCTTCCCCATCAGACTGAGCCTTGAGAGCCTGGACTGTCGGATTTATGGCCTTTCTTTATGTCTCCAAAGCTTGGCCTAGTGGCTGGCACATAATAAATGCTTGTTGACTGAATAGATGATGCCACAGATTTTCCAATTCACAAAAACATCTTTGCCTTTTTGACTCAGGCTACCAAGAAGCCATGTCTCTCTCTGTCTCTCTCTCTCTCTCTCTGTCTCTCTCTCTCTCTCTCTCTCTCTGTCTCTCTCTCTCTCTCTGTCTGTCTCTCTCTTTTTCTCTCTCCCCCCTCCCCCCCATGCAGCACTCCAGCTGCTGATTTCTTTAGCCTTTCGGGCCAGACTTTTCACTAGTCTTCACAGAATCCCTCCCACCCCTGAATGCTGCCTTGGAGGGGTGTAGACTCTTGGTGTTGAAGTCTGCGTGGCGGGGCTCCTGCCTGCTCTGCCGGGATAGCCTGGGAGCCTCTGGAGGGTCAGGGGAGGCACCTTCCTCTGGCTGCCTCTCCGTGACTGCAGACACAGAGCTAAGAACACACCGGACATCGAATTCGTTCTTTGGCAATAGTTTTCCTCTTTCTGCCCCCTCTCAGAAGAAATGAACCGGGATAGCAGACTCTCAGTGCCAGCCATCAGACATCTGTCTCCACATAACCAAGGACCACTTCTTGTGGCTAGAACCTCGTGTACGGGGATGTGCCCATCCTAGCCCCAGGTCCACACTGTTGCCTGTACTGGAGACATATGGCCCAAGTGTGGAGCCGGTCCTGGCAACTGAAATGGACAAGCCACCTCAGGAGGACTCAGCCATGTCATGTAGGTTGTATACCTCAGAGCAGGAAGGCGCGACCAAGGACATCTGGTCACAGCTGGAGCACCAGAAGGACCCTCAGAGATCCTCTGGTCCAACTGGCTTGGCTTACAGATGAGGAAACTGAGGCACAGAAAACGTCTGAGCCGCACAAGTAACGAGTGACCGAGTCAGAAGAGGAGATGGGAAGGCCGACTGTGGACATCCTCTCCCGGCCCTAGTCCATCCCCGTCTCCAGGTCCATCCAGCCTCCCAGCCTCCCGGCCATCCCCCAGGTCCTCAGAGCCCATTGGTGGGGAATGTCTTCTCACTTAGACAAGGCCACAGCCCAGTTTTGGATGACAGGAGGGAAGGGAGGAGAAGAAGCATTTATGTATTATTGTGTCTATTATGTGCCAGGCACCGTGCTGAGCACCCGTTTTTCTTTTCACAAATACCCTCTCATTTGAGAGGACAGCAGAGGGCAACAAACTCCCAGAGGCTTTTCTCAGAGCCCTCCCCTAGCCCCACCCCCAGCCCGAGCCTCCTGGGGACTGATGACCTTCCTGCCATTGTGGGAAAGGGGGTAGAGCGACAGACTTGAGGGTCAGGCCATGCGTTCGAAGCATTTCCCAGGGCCAGCCTCGTAGCGTCTGACCCGAGATTCAGGCTGTGATGGGCTTTCTCCCTGGCATCCTCCAAGAGGCCTAGGACAGTTCCCACACATGCCAGCTTCCTCTCCATATCTGTCCAGGGAGTTAAACCCATTCCAGGGTCCGCCTCCTGGACTGACAGCCGGGAGTGGGGGAAGGAAGGCCTGCCGTGGTGGGCACAGACTCGCGGGGAGAGCCCCGCCCTCATCCTCCTCCCTCTCCAGAGGCACTCTAGAAGCTAGAAGATGGTGTTCACATCCTCTAGAACCAAACAAGCTAAGGAAATAGAAGCACAGAATGGTAGAAACTGGAGGGGCATGTAATCTCACTCCTAGGAGCAGCCAGGTGGTGCAGTGGATAGCACCCCAGGCCTTGGAGTCAGGAAGGCTCATCTTCCTGAGTTCAAATCTGGCCTCAGACACTTGCTAGCCGTGTGACCCTGGGCAAGTCACTCAACCCTGTTTGCCTCAATTTCCTCATCTGTAAAATGAGCTGGAGAGGAAATAACAAACCACTCCAGTATCCCTGCCAAGAAAATCCCGAATGGGGTCATGAAGAGTCAGACATGACTGAAAAATGACTCAACAACAGCAATGTAACTTCTGCCTTGTAGGCCCGAGGACTCTGAGGCCCACAGAATGTCATGCAGGACATTCTGTTGGCAGCGTCAGAGCGGGGGCTAGAAACTAGATCTTCTGGCTTTAAATCCAGCCCTCTTCCCATGACCCCATGGCGCTTTCACTGCCCTCTTTCCAAAATTGGATGATGGGGTTCGAGACTGTCCAAATGACTTGTGAGTTTCCATCCCACCCCCCTTTTATCACTTATCTTCTGTCTCTCCCTGTCTACAGGATCTTTCCTTCTGTAGAAACAAGTCCATGTTTCCCCCATCCTCCTCAAAACACTCTCACTCGCTCCCTTCCTCCCGGCTACCTTTTGCCCTTTGTGGCTAAACCACTTGAGGAGGCCATCTACAAGAGATGCCTCCACATTCTCTTCCCTCACTCTCTTCTTAACCCTTCACAGCCCAGCTCCAATCCAATCATTCCTTTCTCCTGTTGCCGGTGGTCTCTCAGCTGCCCAATACAGCGGCCCTTCCTCAATCCTCATTCTCCTGGACCTCTCTGCAGTCCCTGACGCCGTCGTTCACCCTCTTCTCCTTGTCACTCTCTAGGTTTCGGTGGACACCGTCGCTCCTGGCTCTCCTCCTCCCTCTCCAGCCACTCCTTCTCCATCTCCTTTGTCGGATCTTCCAGATCTCGCCCTCTAGCCAGAGGTATCCCTCGTGGCTCTGTCCTGGGCTCTGTCTCCCTCTATACTACTTCAATTGGTGACCTCATGAGCTCCTGGATTTAATTACCGTCTCTATGCTGATGATTCTCAGATCTGCCTTTCCTGCCCCAATGTCTCTGCTGACATCCAGTCTCCCGTCTCAAACTGGATGTCCAGTAGACATCTTAAACTAGTGTGTCCAAAAGGGAACTCATTATCCTTCCCCCTAAGCCCTCCCCGCCACCACCTTCCCTACTGCTGTAGAAGGCAACATCACCCTCCCAGTCTGCCAGGCTCTAACCCAGGAGTCATCCTGGATTCTTCACCATCTTTCACCCGTCACATCCAATATGGTGCCAAGGTGTGTTAATTTCACCTTTTCTCCATCTCTCAGATATGCCGCCTTCTCTCCACTGACACAGCCACCACTCTGGTGCAGACCCTCCTCACCTCACTCCTGGACCATTGCAATAGCCGCTGGTGGGGGTGTCTGCCTGCCGCAATCCATCTTGCCCCCACTGCAATCCGTCTTCCATTCAGCCTCCAAAGTGATTTTCCTAAAGCTCCGCTCTGATCACCTCACCACCCCCACTCCTCCCACTCAATAACCCCAGGTGTATCCCTATGCCCTCCAGGATCAAATACAAAATGCTCTGTTTGGCATGCAGAGCCCTTCTTAACTTACCCGCTTCCACGCCCCCCAGTCTTCTTGTCCTCCTCCATGCCGTGCCCCACCTCCTGGCTGCTCCAGGAACAAGGCCCTCCATCCGCCAGCTCCTGGAAGGCTGTCCCTCCTCAGCTCCAACTGCTGACCTTCCCGGCTTCCTTTAAGTCCCAGCTAACCCCCCCTTCTCCCCAGCCTCTCGTCACCCCGGTGTCTTTCTTCCCTCTGCTCATTATTTCCTATTTATCCTGTCTTGGCTTACCTGTACCTATCTGTTTACATGTTGTCTCCCTGAGTCCAACTGATTCTTGAGGGCAGGGGCTTCTTTCACCTTTCTTTGTTTCCCCAAACTTAGCATAGTGCCTGGCACATAGTAGGCACTTACTTACCAGCTGACTGACAGGTTTAAAAAAGATTTATTTCCAACTAACTCAACTCTAAGCTGCTGCATCAGTCTTTGGCGGTTCACCACAATCAGGGAGCCAGATCCCTAGAGAGCCTCGTGGGGGATGATGACGCCTTCTTCCCCGGGACCCCTCCAGTTCTGCAGATTGATGGGGGTAGGAGTTGGGGAGAGGGGCTTCAAAGTCACAACAGGGGTGTCCCTGCTTCCTGGCTCCATCCAGCCCCTGGTCGCGCTGGGGCTCTTCTCCTTGGCCTTTGAGCCTTCCCAGCGCCTCAGCTCCCACGGAGGGGTCCACTTTCCTCTGCTTGGCCCCAGCAGGTTTCCGGGCCCTGGTTCCACAGGGGTGGGGGAGAGGCTAATTCCAGGTTTCAGGGGCTCCTCCTTCTCCCCGCGAGGTCTGTCTAACGGCTCCGTCTGTCCTCGCAGGTGATGCAGATGGACCAGAAGCTTAACCTCATCACAGACATGCTACATCACCTGGTTGCCTTGCGGCAAGGGGATCAGAGTGGTGGTGGTGGCGGCGGCGGCGGCGGCGGCGGCGGCGGCGGCGGTGGGAGGCCTGCCCAGAGGTCCAGCTCCGAGATGTTCCTAGGCAATAACTCCCTCCCCACCTATGAACAGCTGACGGTTCCCAGGAGGATGCCGGAGGAAGCATCCTGATGGAGGCCTTCGGGCTCCGGGCCCCCAGGGTGGAGGCGGGCTGGGGGACATTGTGAAGGAAGAGAACGGAGGTAATTGACAACCAAAGCCTGCCTCCCCCATCCTTATCCCTTCACCCGACTGGAGGACAACATGGCGGCTGAGAGATGAGGGTGGCCTCTGCCTGAGGAGAACTCCCCTGCCTGACAGCAAGGGCTGTGGCTCTGGGCACCGTCAGAGCACAGGGCGTCCTAAGGCCCATGAGTGGGCTGCCCTCACCCAGAGGGGAGCCACAGAATCAGCAGAGCCTCGTCCATCTGAAAAGACCCAAACGGCGTGGGCTAGGGCAGAGCAGAGGATGAGGCTCTCGGGGACCCAAGCTTCTCCTTCCAAAGGAGAGCTGGAATTCGTCAGTGCCGTGTCAATGCTCTCACCCTGTTTGTCTCTATCTCTCACTCTGTCTCTCTCTGAGCCACGGGACAACAGAACCGCAAGAAAGGCTCCCTGAGGCAGGTGGCAGGGGTCCACTGTTTCCCTTGCCTGGCCTGCCCTCTTCTTCCCATCCCCGGGCCCCAAAGGGAAGGCCACAGCTAGCAATGCTGCCCTTCTCTGCTTTTCTTCAGGGAAAGCAGAAGGGGCCTAATCTGAGGAGACTTTTAGACTGTCCTGCTGTGAGGACCAGGAAAGGCCAGCTCCTCTCTGGAGACAAGAACCTTGCTCGTGGCTTCCAGGGGTCTGACGGTCTTCCGAGGAGCCACTGTGAGGGCCTTGTCTCAGAGAGCAATCGATATCTCATCAATCCACACAAATGACAAAAATACATGGAAAATGCCCTCCTGGTATTCCTCATGACGGTCTAGCCAAGGGAATTGGCTTAGCCAGACCTTACCAACCAAAGGTTTCCTGCTGGAGAGAAAGGGCAGATTGTCCAACCTTCCATCCCCTTCGGGCTGTGGTCAGGGCTAAACCCTGGGTGGGCCTGGGTGTGCTCTGTGGAGGGCAGTAGCTTTAGAACACGGAGCTCCCAAACCAGCCCTGGGGACCCCTGCCAGCAGCGGCAGGCCTGCGGGGCTTACCAACCGACCGCACACTCACTTCATGGGGCTGCTTCTCCCCAGCCCATCCTCCCAGGGCTGACCTGATCTGGTCTGACAGCTGCACAGTAGATGCGGTCTAAGGGTATGGAGACTGAGAGCTGGAATAGGGAATATTTCTGGGCATTATGCTTTCTGGCAATCAAAATAATTTTGTGATGATTTGGGGGTTGGTTTCTTAATGAGGGTCACAATGTAATTTCAGGATATTAATCTTCCATTCATTTCCTAATAAATGCAGAGTATTCTGTGGTTTCCTGGTTTCCAACCCACTTCCTTTTTTCATTCTACTCCAACAAATAGACCGAGGCCACGGCCAGTCCCCTGTAGTTGTACCGAGCTGGTGTCTTCTCTAAGGGCTCTCACACATGGTACACTGCCCTGCCCCCTTCACCAAAGCCAAGTAGCCAGACCATATCACGTTATCAGAGAAAGGTCCTGGGCTCAGACGTCACTTTCTCCACGTAGGCCAAGTGGGAACATTTCTCTGCCCGGCAGAGAGATCACAGCTTCCACAACTCAATGCCCCCACCAAAATGCCCCTTTCAGGAAAGAGCCCTGGGCTCAGAATCCAGGGCACTGAGTTCAAGTCTCAGTGCTCCCACGTACTCTGTGGGCCACCTGTTCAGTAAAATGGAGATCGTCGTACCACCTGCTTCCCAGAGGTCCTGTGAGATGAGAAGAAATGTTACGTTATTATGATTGTCCCTGGAAAATGAAGACCCCGTAAAGCTCAGAGACCAGGCTTTCATCATCCGCGTGTGGGTCAACGAATGGGAGCTACCAGGGACCTTAAAGGTCTCTAGTGCAAACCCCTCCATTCTACAGATGAGGAAACTGAGGTTCATTGCCCAAGGGATCGCCAAGAGAGCTGTCCAAAAGGACAGCGGCTTCCTCCATCACTGGAGGGCTGGAGCAGAGGCTGAAGGAAAGTGCACTGCAGGAATTGCTCCAGATACAGGGATTAGTGCCTGGGGGTGGGTCCCTTCCCACTTGGAGGCCATGGGATTTCACTTCTGTAACACCCTCCCTCCTCCTGCCACAGACCCCAGTGCAGAGCTCTGCAGAGAGGGAGCCCCGGGAAAGTGAAAAGTGAATGAATCAAGGGACTGGATGAATGGATGAAGGAATGAAGAAGTGCATTCCAAGATTAAGGCGACATCAGCAATGCCGAGGTGCTTTGGGCAAGGGGAGGGGGGCGTCCAGCAAGCGGTGTGACCCTCGCCAGCCAGCCAGGCCCATAGGGCCGAGGCTACCCTGAAAGTCTGACTTAGGGACCCTTCCGCAGACTCCACGTGAGCGCCATGACCTCGCTCCCAAATGCCACGTCCCCTCATCGAAGGGTCCTCAGAGGGCCTCCAGCATCTCCCTGGCCATTGTCTTCCCCTCCCTTGGAGAATGTTCTGGCTCAGAGTGTCTGCCTACAATGTCAGGGGAGACAGGGACAGGAACCAGAGCAGCGACCCAGCCTGGGCTCAGGCCTCAGCAGAGAGACAGAAACAGAGACACACACACAGAGGGGGCCCTCAGCAGGGCCCAGCACCCTCATCATCCACCTCCTAAAAGCTCTAAAAGGTACTTCTGGGGTCCCTACACTCTGCTCCCCCCCAAACTCTGTGCCCACCTGGAATGGTGCAGGGAGGTTCCCAGGCCCCTCACCCCGGAGGCCCAAGCTGGGAGGGAGGGCTTAGGGGGTCCTTCCTCAGAGGCGCTGCCTTTCTCTGGACACACTGACCAATGAGCCCCCCCCCCCCCATCATTGGTAGTCAGGGATGGTTTTGATCCCACTCTTCCAGATCAGGGAGGAATTAGAGTTCTCTGGACCTGGAGCTGCTATCAGTCAGTCAGTCAGTCAGTCACCAAGCATTCCTAAAGGTCTGACTCCAGGCTGTGGCCGGTGTTTTGCCTCTATTTACCTCTAGGAAGCAGGGGCTCTATCCTGGTGAAACCGTATCCCTTCTTCACCACCACCACCACCCGCAGCCCAGTGCTCTGCATAGAGGCACTTAATAAATGGCTGAATCAGAAAGAAATGTGCCTCTCGTATCTGGAAGTTCTGCCTCCTTGGTGCCGGACCTGGGGAAAGGCCTGGGGGGTGGGGCAGTCTTCGTTTGGATGGTTTTTGCTGAGTCCAGGCTGTATCCCGAGCCCATATGAGATGCTACCTCAGAAACCCAGGTAGGTTCCATTACAGAAAAGGACTAGAGACTCCACGAGGGCAAGCCCTTCACTCCACAGACTGAGAAAGCTGGGGGGGAAGGAGGCGGCCCTGGCACAAAGAGCTGGGCGCTGAAGGAAGGCGCAAAGATTCTAGGGTTGGGGGTCTTGGGCTCAAATGCGGGCCCTGACCAGTTTCCTTCTCCCCTCAACTCTGCCGCCTCTTAGAATCTGTTTCCTTCAAAATCCTTTCCCTGCCCCAACCCTTCATTCCTGACAGCATTCCCCACCCTCCGGGCCTCTGCTGCCGCTGCTCCCCAGAATGCCGAGTCTTCGGACGCTCAGCTTCTAGGAAAGACGGCAGCTCCCAGCCCTGAGAGACCCATCCCTGGGGTGAAGCGTGGGCTGGTTTGGGGGAGTCAGATAGAGAGCGCTGTGATTAGGACAGCCCCTGTCATAGAGGGCATAGTGACCATGCAGACGACAAGGACATAGCAGAGCCGGCGGCCAGATGGGATGTGAAGATGGCCTGGTCTGCTCCTTCCTCAGGCTGACCTCCTCTCACGCACTTTCCTTCTTGCTCCCCCCTCCCCCCCACCTCTCTCTATCTTTGTCTCTCTGTGTCTGTCTCTCTCCGTGTCACTGTCTCTGTCTGTCTGTCTGTCTGTCTGTCTGTCTCTCTCTCTCTCTCTCTCTCTCTCTCTCTCTCTCTCTCTCTCTCTCTCACACACACACACACACACAAACACACACTGCATAGATTTCAGTTCAGACTCGATAGCCAGATGAGATCATTACTGCCTCTCTTGCAGAACCAGCCTATCTGCCCACAGTCCGGGTGATTGCTTTGCCTTGTGGGGGAGGTCACAGAGATGCTCTCCAACAGCAACGCTTGACTGAACAAAATTTAACATTTACAATGGCCCCAAACGAGGCCCTTGCCTGTCACTGCATCACTGTTTCCCACAGCAATTAAAGGAAAAATTCCAATATTCATTCTGTCCATAACAGGCAGGCAGAAGCCTTTTACCAGCATAGTCAGAGGAACGCAGCAAACAGACCCACCCAATTCCTGACGATTGGTTTAGATAAGCCAACATCCCTGTTTGAAGATACATAAATTTAATGGCGTCGCAAAGCTGGAAGGGACACACCTGGAAAAGAGTTCCTGCCTCCTCCTCCTCGGACCCAACAGAGAGCCGGCCATGCTGTGCTCACAGACTTACAACGGAGGACACGCCAGGCTTCCCCGGGGAAGACTGTTCTCCCGCTGGACGGCTCTCACCATCCAGAAGGTCTTCCTAACATCGAGCCTCAGTTTTGTGCCCCCATGGCTCCCATTTGTACCCTGGGAGGCCGGCCAATCAGGACAGGCCTACTTCCTCTTTCATGGGCCCATAAGATTCAAGAAAGTAAAGATTCTGCAAGAAGAATCATGCCGAAAGAAAGAAAGAAGCTTTCATGACCTGGGACCAGGAGAGCTCCATGGCCCACACAGTCCCACATGGTCTCAAGTGGGATCCTGCTCACAGGGAAAGAAAGCATCGGTGATGAAACTCATACATGACCAGAAGGACATGAGGGAGGTCGATTGGCCATAATCCGTAAGGATCCCTTCCTCTGTGCTTTCTCCAGGAGCCCCTGAGCAACGTCACTGAGGTGACCCTGAGTTCTTTGGGATGACGGACTGGGACCCATGATCAGTCATCTCTCCTTGAGCTGCACTGTGACTACGATATAGTGCCATCGAAGAAAAGTTTCCATTGGTCATTTCAAAGGGAAGGATCGAAGAAAGAAGCTGATGCTTAGAAGTGACTTCATTTTTTTTTTTTGCCATTATGCCACTCTTTAATGATAATTAACAATATAATAATAGCTAACATTTATATAGCACATACTCTGTGCTAGGGATTGTGCTAAGTGCTTTACAAATGTTAGCTCACTTGATCCTCATAACAACCTGAGAAGTAAGGGCTATTATTATGCCCATTTTACAAATGAGGAAACTGAGGGAAACGGAATCTAAGTGACTTGTGCAGAGTCACACAGCTAGTGTCTGAGGCAGGATTTGAACTTGGGTCTAGAAATGACTTTCGAGGTAAGCTTTTCCCACCCCCTCATTCTGCCGGGAGGACACTGAGGCCCAGAGAGAGGAAGGAAGTTTCCTAAGGGAAGTCCCTATGTTCAAGGAATCCACGCTATGGGAACACCTCATCTTCAGGAAGCCACCAGGTAAACTGGCAAATCACAAGCACAAATCCATTCTGAGCTCTGTGGATGCCTGCGTCTCAAGTGTTCTACATCAGACAGAGCTTCGCCATGACTTGAGGCAGGCAACCTCACGGCATCTGGCTCCAGTCGTTGTGTCCATTTTGCCTGAAAACAAGAAATGAAGAGTTTCTGTAAAGGGAAGAGAATGGAGAATATCAAAGTTGGAAAGGCCCTAAACCATCAAATTCAGGGTAAGGAGTCGCTTGACAAGCAGGTGAACACGCCTATTGGGAGGTGCTAAGCACTGACTGTGCTGGACACCGGGGACGAGAGGACAAAACAGCAGCACTCTCCACACCATGCCTGGAAAGTGACCAGGAACACTGCCTGGCACAGAGCAGGCGTTTAATAAAGGTTCGGTGATTGATTATTGGCTGATTGATTGACTGAGGACCTCTGGTGAGAAGGAGCCCCTTCCACATTCCGCTTTAACGTTTGGGAAGTTTTTTCTCACCTGCCTAAACCTGCCTGAATGAAAGTTCCATCCAGAGGTTCTGCCCTCTGGGACAGAGCAGAACAAGCCTGATCCTTCTCTCATGTGACAGCCCGTAAAGTAAGGGCAGACTGCAGTTAACCCTTCCAACGCTTCCACCCCGTCCTCTCTTCTCTGGGCTAACCGACACCAATTATAGAAGGTGTTTGCACTAGCCACACCTCTACTGGCCTTCTGGGGCTGGTCCCGAAGCTCCACGAAGAGCAGGCTGTGGAGGTGACCAGGGCACCAGCGGGCTCTTGCCCGGCACCCACCACAACTCCACCTCCTTGTTCCAGCGGGGGAAGAATCTGGACCAATAGCCCGTCATCCAGGACGATTTTCAGGTGGCCAA